AAGGAAAAAAAAAGGGGAAAAAAAAAAAAGGAAAAAAAAAAAGAAAAAAAAAAAGAAGCGAACGAAGGTGATCGGGATTCACCTGACAGTGGGCCTCGCTCCAGTACACTCACGACAAGCACAAACGACAAAAATCATGGCGGTTCATCTTTCCATGTTCCAGGGGAGGATTCATTCTCATTTTATTGCATATTTCGAGAGTAGTGGAGGGAGGCCCAGTAATTATCTATAGCCGGATGCGGTCGAAGAGGTCGTATGGCATAACTGTCGTCAGTGTAAATGGCCAAACACACCCTAGACATGGCCAAACACACCCTAAGACAAAATGACAGCGAGTTCGACCGTTTTTTTTTTTTTTTTTTGAACACCCTAGACAAAATGACAGCGAGTTCGACCGTTTTTTTTTTGTTTTTTTTTTATGTCCCGAGTTGGATTTGGTTTCGATCCCGTTACCTGCCGTTCACACGATCGCATCTACCACTCCCATTGGTGTAATCGTGAATTTCGGGTTTCGCTGTCAAGATTGAACAGGAATCGATCCCCTTACCTGCCGTTCCCACGACCGTGTCTACCACTCCAATTCCTCCATTCGTCAATTTCGCTGTCAACCTGCGGCGGGTTGTGCCCACGTTGCAAAGGCGATAAAACTTATAAAAGACAATAATACCAGACAAACAAACAAATAAACAAACAAACAAACAAACAAACAGTGAAAGCTCATCAATCCCTCGGCTCAGCGGATTAAAAAACAGAGCGGTCACTTCATCAAAATAAAATCCGATCGATCAGCCAACAAAGACGGAGGATGGGAAGAACAACCGAGGAAAAAAAGAACAAGAAAGTGCCTGTCCATCGACTAATTAATCGATAGATAGATCAACCAATCATCAGTCAACCAATCGATCAATCAATCATCAACCAATCAACCAATCAATCAATCAATCAATCAATCAATCAAATTGAATCAATCAACCAATCATGCGATCGGTCAATCGATCAATCCATTGATAAATCGATTTGTCAATCGATCAGCCAATCCGGTAGTCCGTTAGTCTGTTCGGCGGTAACAAGTTAGCAATAGGAAGGGACCCGCAGGATGCTCCATTCTATTGAAAAAAAAAAAAAAAAAAGAAAAGTCAGCCCCCCTAGCAGGGATTCGCAGGATGCTCCATTCTATTGGGGTGGGGAGGCACACCTGCTCTGCTCTGCTCATCCCAACCTCCCTAGTAGGCCCGGGCAGGTAAAAAAAAGAAAAAAGAAAAAAAAGCAATAAGTCGGCCAGTGTGAATCAATAAGCCGAGATCAGTAATCACCGAGTCGACGTCCGTAAGCAACGAGGCACGAAGAGAGTGACGTGCAACATACATGTATGTATTGCGGGCCTGCTGTATGGTGTTGTGGTAATTTTGTCTGCATGCATCCCGGTTGGTTTTGTCCCGTTGTTATTCGGTCTATTCGGTCTAAGCAGGTAGCGGTGCTTCATGTGGGACCAGTCATCGGGGGGGGGGGCGGGGGGGGGATTGTCGTGGCATCCTGGTTTGGTTGTTTCCCGGTGTTCGGCCTTTTGGAACGCGGGGCGGTGCTTGCATGTGGGATTCGTCATCCGGGATTGTCTTTTATACCGGTCCTCCGGGTTCTTCTTGGTATTTTTTTGATTTTTTTGCAGACAAGTATGGTTTGACATCCTGGTTGGTCTTGTCCCGTCGTTTGGCCGGTGTAGGACTGGGGCGGTGCTTGCATGTGGGACTTGTCATCTAGGAGATTCCGTTTTTTGTGCTGTTGCTTATTGCCCCCTGTTTTGTTGTATTTGGCTGTTCCCTTCCTCCCTTCTTTGCCTCTTTGCCCTTTGGCTGTGTGCAAGTGGGTCGACATGACACACGGGTGTGGGGGCAGCCGCCGCTCAACCTACATCCACGTGGGCGGGGCCCTGTACGCAAGAGGTTCTGAACAGGGGGAGTTGTAAAGAGGAAGATAAAAAAATGAATTTATTCTTTCTTTTTTTCGCTTTTGCGCTCTGATATTAAAAAACGAATTATTTTTTTCTTGTTTTCTTTTGTTTTTTCGCCTTTGCGCTCTGATATTCATGTGACGATATATGTACGGGCGTCGCTGCATAACTGACCAAACTTCAATGTGTGACATGGAATGTACCTTCCGCTACAAAGTGGCCAGATACACCGGCCATAGTGTTTGTCTTTTTCAAATTTGGTTATTGGTTCGCCCCGACGCCCACTCTATTCTTCCTAGACTGAAGTGTGTTCATCCCCCCCCCCCCCCCCCCCCCCCCCCCAAAAAAAAAAAAAGTTCCCGAACACAAACGGACCTACAGTAGCTCAGTTGGTACACCCGTGAACTGTTTCAGCCTTTTCAGGAGCTTTGTTCATCTGGTTCCTTCCATCTGGATTCGAACTCAGTTCTGCATTTCAACAGAACCAGATGAACAAAAAAAAAACTCCTTGGAGTTGGCTCAGTTGGTACACGCATTACACTAACTGTCCGTGTGGATTTGAACTCAGGTGTGCATTTCAACAGAGTTTGTGTAATGGGTGCACCAACTGAGCCGACTCCAAGGAGTGTTTTTCTCTGTTCTTTTTTTTTTTTTTTTTTTTGGGTTCGCTTCAGCTCTGTTGAAATGCAGAACTGAAAAACTGTCCGTGTGGATTTAAACTCAGGTGCGCATTTCAACAGAGTTTGTGTAATGGGTGTACCAACTGAGCCAACTCCGGTCTGGTCTGTCGAACCGGTCGACTGATGTTTTTTTGCCTCTCCTTGTGTGTTTATAAACTTGTGTGCTGCTTTTGTCGCTCATGTATATATAATGGTTATGCAGGTCATAGCACCCGGAGGTAGAATCGCCTACTCCGTAAAGGCGAAGGTGGAGGAGGAATTCCATTTTCGGGCAGTAAGGAGGGGTATCTATAGGTTCTGTTTTGAGAATCTTTCTTCGTACCTCGAAACGGTTGTCTTCCATGTCAATGTCGGTCATCACGTGACCGTCGACTCGGACATTGCCAAAAATGGTGCGTGAAAACTCTTTTTTTTTCATGGCAAGAAGATGCCCTTTTGCCCATATGATGCTTGAGTGTGTGTGTGTGTGTGTGTGTTTCAACTTAGGCTACCAGCCGGGCCGCCCGGGTCACACCCTGTTTTCCCGGGCGGCCAGGCCGTGCAAGGACCAGGGAAGGTCCCAGCAAAAAAAAAAAACTATTGCCTCAGGGTCACATCGAAATTCTTTACCAAAAAAAAAAGAATTACATTATTATTATTTTATTATTTCAATTTTTTGAATTACTTTTTTTTAATTATTAGCATTATTTTTTTTGCCCGGCCACACAAGTGGTCCTGGGGTCTTGAACCTTTTTTTTTTTTTTTTTTTTTTTGGTTTTTTTTTTTTTTTTTGGTGCCCCTGAATGGTGGTGATGCCAAATTGTAGAACCCACTTTCGACCCAAAATTGTAGAATCCGCTTTCGATCAGGATTTGAACTCATGATGATCTGTTTATGAACAGTTACATGTGTTGAAAGCATACTTGCAACCGCACGAACCGCACCCGCACAGACCGGATCCGTGTGGAGATCCGTACGGAGGGTGCTCGATCTCCGCACATTCCGCACCCGCACAGGCCGGATCCGCGCGGAGATCCGTGCGGGGGGTGGCCGTGCGGAATTTTTTTTTTTTTTTTTAATTTTTTTATAGGGGGGTCTGAGGGGTCCGAGAGGTGTTACCTGTGCTGATATGACTGAGAACCACAAATAGTGAAATTTCAACTGAGTTTCAAGCTTCAACTTCGGAGTTTGGAGTTTGAACTCCAACTGCCAACTACGACATTGCAAGAATATCAAATTTCATGCAGCGGGTGGGGTTGTTCGGTCGGTAGACTCGGTACACACCTGTTCATGTTTGTAGATGCAGAAACACTGCTCTGAGTGCCTCATCATGAAAACAGACCACTGCAGAGGGACACAGTGTCAGAAAAACAGTGAACCTCCAAGTTCGCATTGGGCCAGATCCTAATTCTGAGCCTCTCCATCATCAGAAGATTCAGAACCTCCGTCCTGTCCCTCTGCAGCCCCTTCCTCCCCACTCTCTTCCTCTTGTTCGCCCCCCTCGTCCTCATCATCAGAAGATTCAGAACCTCCGTCCTGTTCCCCGTTATCACCATCACCATCATCATCACCATCACCATCACCATCACCATCATCATCATCATCATCACCATCACGATCATCATCACCATCACGATTCACCATCATGATCATCATCACCATCGGCATCATCATCACCGTCATCATCATCAGAGGACGACGACGATGAAGCCGAACACGGAGGGGTGTTGTCATCGTCAATGACTTTCCCCTTCTTTTTCTTCGCTGCTGCTGCTTTTTTCTTTGCAGCAGAACTCTTTTTCTTTGCAGATGCGGACGCCTTCTTCGCAGCTTTCTCTGCTGCTTTTCTTTCTGCCTTCTCCTTGTTGCTCGGTCGTCCTCTCCCCCGTTTCGGAGCAGGCGCAATGTCTACCTCCGCGGTACGCTTCCTGCCACCATCCCCCTCGCCAGGACGTGCTCGCCGATGCTGCCTCCTGCTTCCACCTTCCCTGCCATCCACCCATGCCCCCGTCTCCCTGGCCCGCAGCGCACGGTCCCGCTCCAAGTTGTACTGGACTTCCGGTGCTGGCCGCTCTTGGCCTGACAGCCTCCTCAAGAGACGTTCTCGGTGCCTCCCCGGCATTGTGTTGAAGTGCCAATGGTGTGTGTAATTGTCGAGCTGCCTGATGCCGTCCTGCTGGTCCATGTAGTCGTCCATGTCGTCATTGTGCAGCCACCTCCGTGCCATAGGGACTTCGTTATCCTCCTCCTCCCCCACTCCCCCCCCATCTCCTTCCTCCAAGTCACTCCCCCCATCCTTCCCACTCCTCTTGACACACCGCACCCACTCATTGTAATACGCCTCCGCCTCGTGCTTCCTCTTCTCATCAGGCATGTCCTCCAACCAAGGGATGTGAACATCAACCTCGCCCTGACCGTGTTCTTGCCTCCACTGCAGGTGGAGGTTCCAGTTGTGTTCGCATGCAGCAGTTGAGCTTGCCTGGCCGAGCAGTCTGATGGCTTGAGGCTGCAAAAGGTACAGTCGCGACCCAAATGCATCCCACCACATCGCAGGTGTCTTTGTCCTCGCCGTGCGCATCTATTCCTCTGACTGGAAAGACCCCTTGAAGTGCACCCACTCGTCCACCTGCCAGCTGATATCATCGAATTGCTCAGGCTTGCACCACGTGTACAACCAGATGTTGAATCCAGCCCGGATCCCGGTGTCCTTGAAGTAGCCGTCAGCTCTATACTCTGGTCCAAGAAGGCAGCTGCACAATGCAGCTCTGATGTCATGAATGCCCAGCGATCCATAAGGATCACCTCCACCTCCCCCTTCTCATGGTCTGTTAGCACGTCCAGTTTACGGATGGACTCCACAACGATGTCCATCCGATGGTAGACCTTACGTAGCGTTCCACCTTGACCATCTACGAGCCTCAGAAGCGCCACGATTGAATCTGTTGTCAGCAACGCCTTGTCGACATCATCCCCAAATGTGCCGTCCAACACTGTTGCTGTCGCCTCCTCGAACTGCGTGGCAAGGTCGGGCCGCACAATGCCGGGCACCCACCCCTTATCGCCCACTGCCACCTTGAGGGCATTGCTCGCATCCGACAGCGACTTCAGCATGATGATGTTTGTGGCAAATCGAGTCACACCCAGCCTCTTGATCTGTGCACCTCCGGATTTGCTGAGGAATAAAGCCTGCACCTTGTCGTGGTTCATGATAAACTTCCCCAATTGATTCCCCCTCTTCACCGTCGTTCTGAACCACTCTAACGACTTGTTCATGTCCTCCAGGTCGAGGGCATGTGCCGTACAACCAACCCGGAAGATCCATGGATACTTTTGTTCCACCATCTTCCCAGCCTTCACACAAACTCTGGCATTGTCCATGACCACGCCCACCACGCTCTTAGGCCCAATCTCCTCAATCGCCCCCTCGAGTATACGGAAGTACGCCTGCGCATCCTTGTCCTTCCCTTCGACACACAGCGATTTCCAGAACACTGTGCCGATGGGGGAGGACACCATAACGTTAATGTGTGGTCTTCCCCGCTGGTCAGACCACCAATCAACCTGTATCATGCACCCCGTGCGTGCCCACTTTTTTGCGATCCCTGCCACATCTTCAATGGCCCTCTTGTTTTGCCCGTCCAATCTCCCATTGCGTGCTGCCTCTCTCGAATGAAGTTGCCAGGAAGCAGGGGCGTTTCGTACGGCGTCAATCATGTCCTCAAAGAACTCATTTTCGACCATGTTAAATGGTTGATTGGTGCAGGTCATCCACCGGTCGACCCTCCTTGACGTCTGCTTGTTCTTTGTGACAATGCTGTCCGCGTCCTCCAACACCGTCTGGCGCACTCGTGTTCCGGACGCGCCGGTGTGGCGTGTGG